CTTGAAGTTCAAGTTGAATACTAAAGATCATATATATAAATTTATTTGGGGGATCGTCTAGGGGAGGGGGATTTATATTGCTTACTTGTTCATTAAATTTTTAGAAATCATGCCTATAGGTTTGTCTTTAATCACCTAGAATTATTGTTTGTAGGTGTTATAATCCAATCAATTGTTTGATGCTTTGTTAATAAGTCTAAAAAATAATAAACTAGATTCCATTAATTTTTAATGTTAAAATAAAATCATAATAATTTAGTAGGCTGATTAGGTGTTTTAACAACTTGAACTTCAAGTTTGAAACCTGTCAAAGTAATCAAATAACTACACAAGTAATCACACTTATTAGTCAAGGTGAGACAATATGCAATTATTTAATGACGAATTCTGCATATAAAAAAACCAGACAATAGCTTACACAAATGTGTGAATGTAAAGATAGTATAAATGTTAAAAATACTAACCGGTTAAGCAAAACAAATTGATTCAACTTTTAAAGTAGCAAAATAGCAAAGAAGAACACTTGAATATTTACCGGATTCTCAATGTATTGTTAAAGTAGCAAGAGAGCAATGAGAGAAGGGAGAGTGATGAGAGAAATTTTGATTGAGAGTGAATAAGTGTGTGAGTTCATGACATAATGAAGGGAGGGGGTCTTATTTATATAGCAAGGAGGGGGAAACAAATAAGGAAAATAAATATTTAAAGGAGTCAATTAAATATATTGTTTTCCTTATTGAAAAAGAGGGCCAAAATCAGATTTTAAAAAAAAATATTTCATTACCAAATATAAACAAGTAAGAATAAATTAATAGAGTAATATATTTTTTTCCTTAAATAAAGAAGAGCCAAACCAATATTATTCTACCATATATAAGCAAGTAAGAAATCAGTCAATTTTGAAGTAAGGAAAGGAGGATCAATCAATGATATTTCCTTATTTCAAAGGAGCCAAAATCATTTTTATCTTACCCAAACAAAATTTTTAATAAAGACGAATGAAGTAACAATCAATACACATAAATAAGGAGATATGTTTACGGAAAGACAATATCACAACTCAAATCAAGAACGGATACAATTCGTCATTTTTTTTTAAAAAAAAAAATTTACAATATAAAAACAAATAACAAATTAAACAGATCCTAAATACATTAACAACTTAATTAAGTGGAGACAAGTCACAAGCCATGAAATTCCATTTTAACATTCTTGAATCAGAGTCACCAAAAAATTAGCTAAGGGAACAATTTTATCATTCCAAATTATCAACCTTAAATCAAGAACCAACTAAATCGATATCATAAAACCATAACACAGTAACGACAGAAGCATGTAACATAGATATATATTGACATTCCAAGTCACAATGAATACTATTTTGAAAACACACAATATCATAAAATTTGCGGAGTAAGATTAAGATAAGATAGTAACTAAAATTGAGACTGAACTATGCATAGCCAACTTACAAAATAAAAGAAGAACAAAGACAAAAAAATGAGGTATAATTTAAAAGAAATGTACCCGGACGGATCTTGTTAAAAATCCGTCTTTTAATCCCCTTGAAACTTTCGAAAACATCGCTGGAGTTCACTTATTTGCTAGCTGGTTTTCCTGCTCATCTTTGCCGGAGCTGCTGTCGCTAGTGGCTGCTGTCCGGTCGAAGATGCTGCCTGTCTCTGCAAAAAAAAGAAGAGGAAAAGAAAAGGAGAAGAGGAAGGGGAAAACGGGAAGGAGAGAAGGAGCGAGAGGGAGAGGAGAAGAGGGAGGAGGGGATTGACGGGAGAGGGGAGACGGGTGAAGGAAGAGGAACGAAAGGGAGAGAGACACGCTGCCAGTGACTTTGGGCTGGTGGTTGACGCCGCTCGCTGCTCGTCTGGTGGCTGTCGCCGGCCAGAGCTGCAGCTGTTGGCTGCTGCTGGTTCACGCCGATGGAGCCTGTCTTCGTCGGAGATGAGAAGAGGAGAGAAGGGGAGAGGGAAGAGAGGAAGAGCGACGGGAAGCTGCTGCTTCCGGCGGCTGTTGGTTGGTCGGAGAAGAGGGGGAAAGAAGACGAGGGAGGTGGAGAGAGGGAGAAAGGAGGGAGTGGAGGCTGCCAAGGAGAGGGGGGAAGAGAGAGGAGGGTTGGCGGCTTGGAGAGAGGGGGGAGGAAGAGAATGAATTAAAATTTTAGGTTTTAGGGTCTTTTGGTGTTGAAGAAAGAGAATGGGAGATTTAATCACAACCATCGGTTTAGATAGAGACGAAGGGTTAGGATTCGATCTAGGATTTATTAATTAAATAGACGGATGAGATCAAAAGATGATTTCTTGAAATTAGATGAGTTAGATACGGAGTGGCTAAAATTGCAATTAAAATTGGCTAGAATTGAAAGGAAGAGATGGCTATGATTGTAATAAAATTTAATTGGAGTGGCTAGAATTGAAAGAAATTAGAATAAAATAGGCTAGAACTTAAATAATTTCTAAAATATTTTGTATAATTGAAAATCATTTAAATTTTAAAACATTTGAAATTCATTAATAATTTTAAAAATATAATAATATTTACAATAATTTTATAAAGTAAATGATACTAAAATATATAATTTTGAGAAAAAATTGACTAAAACTTTAAAACTTTAAGTAAATTTTAAAATACGTATTTAGTCGAATATAATCCTAAAAATGGTTAAAGATCGGTCAAAATTGGGTGTCAACACTAAGAATATAATTAAAAAGATTACAAATAAGCATAAAAGAACGATCAAATTTCAAGTTTACATAAATATATATATTAAAAAATTTCAAATAAAAAAAGAAAAAAATGATCACAAGTTTACATTTTAGTAGTTCTAATATTACCTAATTCTTATTACCTTCTCTTTTTTCTCTATGAAATTTAATTTTAATATTTAACTTTTCGAAGTTCACATACATTTATTTCTTATGAATTTCATATTTAATATAAATATTTTTCATAGCTTCTCTTCTAAAGTTATTAACAAAAAAATCCTTTTATTTAAGTACTTATTGATATTGATATGTAATTTCATTTTAATTCTTTTCATAACCGCGCAAAGAGCGGCTAAGTACACTAGTTCAATATAATTGAAAAACTTAAGAGGGAAAATCCTCCCCCCCCCTCCAAAAAATTAATAATAATAGTAAATGTGATTCCTGACCTATGAAGGGTGTCACATCAGCGGGCTTATGTTCCTGCTTTATATTAATATATATATTTCAAAAATAATTTTAATAATTAATAAATTCTGTTTTTATCGTGTTGACACGTAGGTATTTTTACTTCTCATATTATATATATAGATAAGTTCGAATGATTATAAATATTTTTTTAATTCTCCAAATCCATTTAGTGTAATTTGATGATTTCACTAATATTTATTTTCCATTTTTTGGGGTTTTTCTTATTTAATGTAGTTCGTCGATTGATTACTTGAACTATTTTTTTTAAAAAAAAAGATTAAGGTATTTGAACAATTTAACTATCCTTAAATTTAGGTCAAATTTCAAAATATATTTGATCAACAAGAAATTAGAAATAACATCATGACATTAAGGATCTCAATAATGATACATCACACCTCATAATAAATAACAATCCTCAAATATTAGTATTTAGACTTTAACCATTGGTGACCTCTTAAAGTCGACACATATTTTCACTTAGACACCTTAAATAAGTTTTGTTCATTTTAAACACCTTATATCAAGTCTTATTATGTTATTTTAACATTTTTGCTGATATGATATGATGAGTATAATACAATTATAAAAAGTGTGTGAAGGCATTTTAAGCCAATTTTTATTTTTTTCCTTCTTCTTTCCTATTTTTGGGCCACCATTTTCCCTTACCTTAAGGTTCTTCACTGGTGAAAAGTGTTGAGAGTGATTTTAGAGTTTATTTAAACTTCTCTATGTGGATAGTGGATTAAATTTGATGGTCAAATTGGTAAAGAATTTTATTGTTAAATCATAATAGTTCAAATTATGTGGTTGAAAGTCATCATTACGACTTCACTAACAATTTTTTTTCTAGATTTGACAATTGATTGAGTATAATTTGACCTCAATTATTATCTCAAATTCTTTATTAAAATGACAGTCCTTAGTTTAGAAGAAGAAAAAATGACCACTTTTTTAGTTTATAATGGAATCATCCTACTAATAAAACTAAAAAGCATAAAGATACGACGGTTGGCGGAGAAGACAAAGAGGGTTGGATTTAATTTGTTAGAGAAGACGACAAGGGTTGGGGTGGGTGGGTGGGGGGAGTTCTGCAAAAGTAATTTTTTTTAAAAAAAAATAATTTAGTCCTCTCTAATAATTATTTGGGCAAAAATGTCAGGTGTCATTGATTCATTGACTAATTTTTAGTTTTATTCAAAATTCATTGTTAAAGATTTGTCTTTGTGTCAAATGATAAATGTCCTTATTTAATTTTGTACTTTGACACGTCATCAACGAATGAGTTACACTCACTTTAAATTTTTTACTTATTGTGAAAAAATGTCAAAATGACACAATAAACTTGAAATAAGGTGTCTAAAATGAATAAAATCTAGTTAATGTGCCCAAGTGAAAGTTTGTGCCAGCTTTAGGGGGCCATCAATGAGTTAGACCTATTATTTAATTCGAATAGTCAAATGAAATAGAAAGTCCTATAAAAAAAAATATCTTTCGAAGGTTATTTATATTGACTCAATTATATAAAATAGAAAATTTCATAATAATTCAAGTATAATACGAAAGAAATCTTTTGTAAAGTTTTAAATCAAACCGAAAATTAGATGAGAATCATGAATCAAACACTTAATAAAAAGTAATATTCACATTACTAATCCTTACTAATTTCTACATTACTAATTTATGCATTACTAATCCCTACATTATTGATATTTGTACAAAACAGCCCCTTAATTTTAAGTACATTTTTTATCTTAATTTTTTTTTCTCAATAATATCTCATTCAGAAGATATGAAGAGGGTAGGAACTTGGGTGAAATTTATTTGAAGGTTCCCCAAAATAGTTTCGAAGTTTCTGAAATGTTCTTTTCTCCATCTTATTTCTGCAATATATATTTTTTCCCCTTAAATTACTCCATTCTTGTTTGAACCCAAACACACCCCTAAAAAATAGGAAAACAGAACACAAGAAGGCGCTCAAAACCCAGTGTCACTCAATTTCTACCATTGTTAAAGAGCTTTTCGGCGATGACCCTTTGATCTTATCCTTCAATGGAGCTTCGTCCCAGACACAGGCAACCATTTTCTGGCTTTACAGAAGCGGAGGTGCTTTACCCATTTCAAAATTTTGTTTTTCTTGGTCCCATTTTATTTTTTCTTAAAAAAACTTTTTTTTAAGTTTGGCCTTACTGGGCATTCGAGACAATTGATCGTTTATATGTATGTAAAATTTTCTGTTGCAGTAGAATAATCAAAATATATACGTCTCCCTTTCCAAAATTGTATTAGAGAGCATGCAGAGTTAAGACATAGTAGTAATATTATTAGAATAGATGAAAGGTTTTTGGATGATGTATGACATAATCAGCAATTTTTTTGTGAACCCTTTTTTTAGAAAAGAGCTTATAGTTGTGTCATGTGTGTTTTGTTAAAAGTGTTTGAAACCCCTATTTCTTTTTTTGGCTTAACTTGAAGATTGTATTTATTTCTCTTTGGGAGTCTTTATAAGCTGTCTTATTAATTGGTTTTATGTATGCGTATTGTCTGGTCTAATTCATGAAGATGGTTGAACATATTCTATACTGTGCTGCACTCAAGGGTGTGGCTTAGTGGTCAAAACTTAGACTAGGCAATTCTTCCTCTATGTCCTGCCCTTGGTAGACAAGAGGTACTTGATACCTGTTACTGGTGGGAGATGACAAGTGTACCGTAGAATTAGTCGAGGTGCGTGAAAGTTGGCCCCGACACCACAATCATAAAGAAATAAAAAACTCTATAGTGCCCTGTGGAACTGAACAAAGATTGATGTAGTTAGGGTTTGTTTGGTAGCTGGTTAGAATTGTGCAGGTATAATTTATCATATTATTAAGTTGCTTCTTAACTAGCTACCAAATGACCTCTTAGTGCTCTACATCACACAGTTGGTTTGGCTTGCGGAAAGGGTTTTTGGTTTTATTGGGGTGTGGTCCTCCTTCCTCTTACCACTAAAATAGAATGCAGGACAGTTGGTTGATAGTATAAATTAGAAGTTGTGTAAAATCTAGGTAAATGCATATTTCCTTCTACTTAATCAAAATTTTAATTTAGAAGTTGTGGTCTATGAAGAGTTGTGCAACCAGCAATACGTTAAGGAAGTTAATGTTGAGCCTTAGAGGTCCAATATATCTACAAGGTGAATGGCGTATTAATATGCATACTTGAAACAGTTTACATTTTTGTACAAGATTGGACAAAATAAAAAATGATCACTTATAACAGCAGATGCGAATAGCAAATAAAATGAGAGAGGTTTACCTCGATGATATCTCTGTTGGCTTCTTTGGGCATTATGAACTAGCTGTTGTTTGAAATTTGCAAAATGATGTGCATCTGCAACTTTAGCAAAACATATTGGAATTAATAATTTTGTTTAGTTACTATTTTGTAAATCGCAATTTTTTCACATATCTTGTTATTCAAGCAGATTGAGAAAATGGAGAACGAACTTAAGCAATCAGAAGAACATGATTTTGACCAACATTTCTGCAAGAAATTGGCAGGGGCTTTCAGGTGAGTTGCACTTTCTACATCATGTTTTGTTTCTTGTTGAATGATCAACAACAATATTTTATATAAATTTGTCATCAACATATTCTTTTACATTTTTGCAGTCACTCTAAAGGTCGTGCAGGAAAACCAATCGTGAAATGGACTGAGGTTCATAGTTCAATGTACTTATTCCCGTATCTGATATTCTTGGTTGAATGTCCTTATAGAACTAAGTCCTACTATTTCTCTTGAATTTAGGTCCAAACTTGGCTCCAGAATAGGCAGAAAAGCTGTCTCTCAAAGTATAATTCAGCAGAGGCTAAGAGGAAACTGCCTGATGTGACAAAAGAATGTTCTTTAGAAGAAGAAAAACAAAGATTTCATATGCCTGAAGGTGTCAGTTGATCTATGTTTGTTATGAAAGTAAATTATCTGACATAATAGTTTTTAATGGAACATTGTTTTGCGGGTGCAGAAATTCCCTTCTACCTCTTCTTTCTTCCCTGGCTGACCATTTGAAAAGTTTAGAGTTGAGACTAAAGCACTACAAATGTTACTCTACCGCAAGAATATAATAATGTATATAAATTAAGGATATCTCATGCCTTCATGTTTAATAATCACTATTTCAAAAAAATAATTGTTTTGTTCTTAGTTCAGAAATTTTGTTAGAGTTATGCATTAGTTGATATTGTATAGTTTATTTTTGGATCAGTTGTCAAATTAACTTTTGCAATGTTACTCTATGCGGAGCCTTTTGACATCTCTAAAGCTCCAAGTACATTCAGCAATTTAACATCCCCGATATTAAACTGATTGTAAATATTTGGTCTTTCATTCAGTTATCCATGTTAGATTTTCCTCTACGCATTTGCCTCCAAGTTCTTAATCTCTCTTAGTATAACTGGATTTGTTCCTCTATCTCATTTGTATGGTGACTTATCCTTGAAAGATGCTCAAAGTTACTTCTCGTGAATAGTACCTCAAACACCAAGCACGGAATTCAAAAGTTTCACTTGCAAAAAGAATTTCTGTCAGTTGTATGATCTGTGATAATTCTGCGTGAGACTGATCTTCTTACAGGATGAGATGGAAATATACCATGCCTTCTATCCTTTGCTATCAATTCATAATCCTCCCTGTATTGCTGTTGTTTCACAAGTTCACTCAAATGACAAAATTGTTTCATTTCCTTTTGGGTCCTGTTCTGTATGCCATACTTTTTTCGTAGTTTTCTTTGTTCATTAAGCTACAGAGAGTCAAACTATTTTGTCTGTTGTGCTCATTCTGCCTTACTTTTGTCTCCTATTCTTGCCAATCACTTTTATCAACTCTAATGGAAGTCTTAAGATTTATTTAAAGGTACATTCTACTTGTCCTTGTCAAAAAAAAAAAGTTACATTCTACTCGCATTGAATGTCAATGGTGAAGGAGAGACTGTTTGTTGGTTTCCTCCATCTGAAAAAGTATACTTCTTTAAGGATCCAGTTTGTGAAAATCTTGTCAGTAATTGCTAAATAAGGAATTACCTAAGGACATATTTCATTGTTTTGAACCACTCTCTTTTGCCAAGTAATTAGTTCTACTTATGCTCCCTTCACTTCTAAACCTGCTAATTTTGTCACTTACATAGTACAACAAATTCTTTTCCAGGTAAGAAGATTCCAGATCTGTCAGACTTACAATTTGAGGCTAGGTCTTCAGTAGATGGGGCGTGGTAAGCCTACATTAGCAAGCCAGAACGTCTCAACTTTTTTCTTATCAATAAAGATGATTACTGGCTACACGACCACTTTAGCATTAACTTTGGATGCATTTTCAACTTTTCTGCATTAAGCCATTAAAATGAAATGCAAGAATGGAATGCTGTTTGGATATTTCTGTTTCTAGACTCTCTTCTTTGACCTGTAAAAAGAATCTAAAAATAAAGAAAAAGAAATGATAGAAAAGAAGAAAGTTTCTCTTTACTGCTGAGCAACTACACTGGCACCATTGTGAAGTCAATATCTCAAAGGGTTCCATCGGAATGATGTTATTGTAAATTAACATCTATTCACTATCTTAATTTTCTATTGTTTATTTTTAGGAGTTTTCTCTAAATTTTTGGTGCTTTTCCTTGTGAGAATTGTGGTCAATGATTGTTGGTTGTAAAATATTTTACGTTTTAGAGCGCAGCTGTATTACGATCCTCCCTTCCTGTAAACATGCAATATGGTGAATGTTAAAGGAAATGTATTTTGAAGTTCTTACTCTTTGGTCCTTGATAGCTAGAATTATCCAAGCCCTTCTATCACCATTTACGGCTTAGGTCATTAAATTTTGTAGGGCTACCCAACATATTGTTCCTTCAGAGCTGATGCTTGACAATAACCATCTAGTGTCATGTGGCACATAAGGTATGGAGGTCGCGGGTAAGGATAGATGGTTAGTAGGTAGTTAGGGGTTTTCTCATTACTAGCCTTTTCATATAGTCTTTGGCTTTTTGTACCTGTTATCACATGGTGTTATTGTAGTCTTATTTTTAATACCGTACATCGTCAGTTGTTTACAGTGCTTCAATCATTGCACTATTGTTGGTTCACCTTGTTAGTTGCTATATTCTCTACACTGTATTTACTCTACTCGAACCCGGGGTGTTTCGGAAACAACCTCTCCTCCTCTATGAGAGGTAAGGTCTGCATACACTCTACCCACGGGTGTTGTTTCTTAAGAGGCTTTTGCTCCAGAATAATTACTCACGAAACCAATGTTTTTAGATTAAAATTGGAGCTTAAGTCCCTTTTATTTTGGAGCTGTTTCATGAATTTCTTAGCAGACAACAACCACGAAATGTAGCTTGATTCATACCTGTCAATTCAAAACTGAAATTCAAGAATTTTGGAAGAATTTTTCTTCATCAAACCTTAACCCTCAACAGACAGGCCCACATTATCCCGTTTACAAAGAAAGGAGCAAAAGAAGGGAAGGAGATATCCATGTCCTAAACGCTGTATTTCTTGTGTGTTTGAACTGAAAGTTGATTCACAGTGGTGACAATCTGCTCTTACTCTCATGAAAGGCTAATGATTTTTTTGTTAATGCTTTAGTACTACCTAGTATTTTTCACTTTAATGAATGCATCTGTTGGTGGGGTTAATGAAGTAAGATGCTTATGGTGTTTGACAGGTACGATGTTGATACATTTACCTCACACCGGTTTCTTGAATCAGGAGAACCTGTAAGTAGTGCAAATTGATCGAATTTGCTGCATACTTGAAGGAGATGTTAGAAATAACACTAGTCAAAATAGAATCCAGGAAGTGAATGCTGCTTGACATTTTGTGAAATATTATGTGCTGCAGGAAGTTCTTGTGAGATATGTGGGATTTGGACCAGAGGAGGACGAGTGGATAAATGTAAGGAAGTCAGTCCGTGAACGATCTGTAGCTCTTGAAAATAAAGAATGTATCAAAGTCAGGGTTGGGGATTCTGCTTTGTGCTTCCAGGTACCCCTGTTCTTCCATCCACGGAAATCTCTTTTCCTATTGTTCTAGGAAAAGAGATCAACTAGAAAAGCGAATAACTTCTTGGGCTAGTGTTGTTGATAGAGTGTAAAATGAGACTATAAATTCACCATTGTGGCCTCTAGGAGGAAGATAATATTTACTCGTTACAGTATGGGTTTTTCGTATTTTGATTTAATCAGGAGGGGAAGGACAATGCTAGATATGTTGAAGCTCGTATTCTAGAAATTCAAAAGAAATTTCATGACATAAGGGGCTGCAGATGTCTCTTTGTGATTCAATATGATCATGATAACACACAGGTGCGTATTCATAACTCGAGAATATCTCCACATTAATTATCATGTTTCATTGGAGATGATTTTATGTTGTTACATTTTGTTCTTTCTTGCTTCAGGAAATTGTCAATTTGAGGAGACTGTGTTTCCGGCCAAGCATATTAAGGCGTTTGTCACAGATTTAGTTTTTGAGTATGTTTGGTGCAGCCCACATGTTTTGCCTTGGCGTTGCACATATATTATATTATTTTGCTCCTTGCGGCCATATTTAATCTTAGACCAATATATATATGCTTAGTTCATAATGTAGCTGGAGATCATATGCCTATTATATCGTATATCCGTGTTCTGGAGGTTGAACAGTTGTGTGTGTCAAACCGTTTCGTATAACTCTTCTAGGTGGTCAGTGCAGTTTCAAGTTTTGGAAGAAATGATATATAAAAGTGCATTTGTTCAAGTGTATATTGAGTATTTAAGCACTCATACAACCATGCCTAATGCACTTATTTTTTGTTCTTATTACTAGGAATTATTTTCTTCTTGTTCCTCAATTTTATTACTCTCTTGGCTATTTTGATGTCAATGTTTCTCTGTTCTTACCATTTTCGTTTGAACCTCTTTCACTTTATATATTTTAAATCTGTTTTGAAATATTGTTCTTGGCCGGAGGGTCTATCAGAAATAATTTCACAGGTTAGATTTGTGGTATTGTTACTACTAGGAACAAATATTAAGATATTCAGATCTTGAAAGCAAACGAACTTGATTACTAAAATTACAATGATTAAGATTAAAGACTTTCATTAAGTATAAACAGATGAGGCTAACTTTGATCATATTATGACATTAACTGCCACATAAAACAAGGTGGGTTAACATTCCAATTTGTAATTCTTCGATGTGAAATCAAATGAAAAGTAAATAAAAACAGAATTGCTAATTAGAAGGAAGACAATGCAAAACCTTGTTGCTAAAAAGAATCACAATATTTTAGATATATGTAGAATGAACATAATTGGTTTATATTGGGGTGATTTAGAGAGTTTTATTGAGAGTTGTGTGAATCGTACATGATTTTGTGAAGAATTTGTTAATATTTGACAATTTTTAACAAAAGAAATAATGTTGTCAAATTTTAAATAATCGAGAGATGTTTTTTCTGTTAAGAAAAATAATTTAAGTATGTATTTCAAATTATGGTATAATTTAAGAATATCTTTGACGAATCAAAATAGTATGCAATTCAAATTGGTCAATTTATCATGAGAAGCTAAGTATTTTAATTTCTTATGTTTTGCTAAGAAGATCTACCTTAAGTAGCAAAAATGCTCATTGAACTCAATTTATCTATTTTAGAATCTAGGTGAATAATACTAACTATTCAACAAATTTGATTGATTGATACAAGTTATGGTAAACTGATGAAAAATAATAGCCAATTTTTTTAAAGGTATTTATTGTGAAATAAGATAAATAAAAATTCTGGAAAGAATGGGATATTTTTTAGTATGAATAGTTATGCAGAATAGCAAAGATTTAGGATATATTAGGTTAGTGCTATATAGTGTAAGAAAATATAGTTCGCGATTCTTCCTATTGGCCTGACTTGTATAGTTGGATTGATTTGTATAAATTCAGAGCACAATTCAATTTGTGATTGTATAATCTAGAATTTTGTATATGTTTTACTTTAGTTATTTGTATATTATTTATATAAAAATCACCTTGAACAAAATTCTGAGAAATTCTTAAATTGAGCTACATTCACTGCAGAAAGCATGTGAAATCAAACAAAGTTTTACATTGTAGCTAGTGCTTCTGTTAGAAGATTGAGATTGAAGTATTTTTGAAATTGAATTTGTAGATTGATGGTTAAGAGTCAGTTGGTCCATAACAAAGGGCTGAAATGTAAAGGTTGTTATCCCACTTCTCCTGCAAACAGTAAGATGGATACGTATAGTTAGGTCCAGAAAGAGGGAGGGAAAATGATTGTAAAGGAAAATAGGACCTTGAGATGAGTGATTGTAAAAGCACTCGTACGAACTGTCTCTTGCGCCACATTCACACCTTCCTTTGTTGGAAGACTTAGAACTACAGCAGTTTGATCCATGGTTGCCGCAGTTGATGTGATACGGTAACCAGCATTCCACCTCTTATGAATCCCTTCACTAGGATACACAAAATCTAATTCCACTACCTGATACACACACAATTAATCATCACACCATTACACAAACAGGATTATATTTGTAACATAACAATTGCATGCCCATCTACTTTCTCCATCCATATAATAATACCTGGTGAGAGAAGCCAACCCCACGTGACATAACAACTGCCCATCTACCTCTTCCTGCAGTTGCCATAGACGTAACATAATACCCATCCTTCCATCTTTTAGCGATCCAATCGAAAGGAAATGACTCCGTCACTTTGTACGTCTGTTGCACATATGGACCACCTGTGATCACATCAATTATTTACTTCAGTCATATAACAACTGCGTACCTTGATTGTTCAAAATTACACTCACCCTTTGACATCACTATTAAGCACCTCTCATCATGAGCTCCTGCAATGGAGCTAATAAAATACTTCTTCTCCCATTGCTCAAAAATCCACTCCTATATATATTCACACATATTAGAAATGATTATTTTAACTGAAAACAACGGGAATGCTATTCAATACCTTGGGAATAAAAGAAGGTGACAAGTAATGAATTTGGGATCGGAACCCAGTCCCTTCATCCAAAACTAAGAACCAAGAGTCAAAACAACAAGCAACACCACTGATGAACAGTCCGTCCCTATGTCCTATCGCAACGTGCTGAGACACCCTCGTATCATCAACATTACAATGATACCTATATATAATTGCAATGCACTTGTTGTATTAATTACACCAGCTAATGAAACACCAACAAATATCAGGAACAAGTATATATACAAACCTTTGCTTCATAGGGCGACGGGCACTGAAAACAGTAATCCATTGTCTTGCACGCATTCCAATCCGTACTTTCTTCTTTGTTTCTTCATCCTCATCGACTGCTATACTAACTCGTCCTCTCTTCTGTCCGACTTGATAAACAAGCTTCAATAACATAAAATGGGTTACAAGATTCTTCGAATTCAAGATAACATGAGGGTTTTGAAGATGTCAAGTATACCTTCTGTGCACCATCAGTGTTGATTGGTCTGGTGTCCGGATTTGGACCTACTATCTCGTCGAACAATGAGATATACTTCGCATAATTAGGCTCCTCATCAAACTTTAGGTTCACAACATATTCCACAAACTGTTTAAATGCAGCAGGGCAGAAGCAGCAAAGTGTTTCTGGAGAAGTTGACATCTTTTTCTTACAGACAAGGAAATCTTTATTATCACCCTACAAAGATCACAATCATGTGTCACCAAACAAGCTATTAAAAGTAATACAACATTCAAGAGGTGGTTCAAGAAACTCTATGCGTTCGACCTTTAAGTTTCTTTAACCACATAACCTAGCACTTCTGTTTAATGTAAAATCAGTGGGTTTTATATAAAAACTTTATGCCCCGCATGAAACATATCGGGTTCATATGGACCGAATTGTAACGACCTGTTCACGTCGTTATAGAAATCCAACGGGGAAAGAATTGGGATCTGAAAATTTTTTGATAGTAACTTGAAATTTCCTAGCCCAGTCTAGATTTGGACGAAGTCGGAGTAAGTGAGGTCTAAAGAAATCTGGTAAAAAAAACGAGAGATCTAATAATGAATTTGATTGCATGAGCGGATATCTAAGGCGTTAAGGAACCCATACGACCTTACAGAATTGAATTCGGGTGTTCGAAACTGATCCTAGCGTGAACGGGTTGTTTTTGAATGTCAAAAGTTGAGGTTGTATTGTGAAATGGGGGTTTGGAAATTAAATTTAGCTCTCTGTTTCCGTGCAAGCCACATCGGCGGGACCGCTGTGGTGGGATGGGGGCCACCATAGTGGGACAACCGTGACTTAAGTTGGAAATAATCACCAAAAAACGTTATTTTATGAAAGTTTCATTTTTGAGAACTAGGAGACGGCCCCAGGTGATTTCTTGATAGTTTTCCACGACTTTTGGTGCTATAGGTAAGGTTTTAACTCTCCAAATCCATTTTTTGATCCGTAGAATGTTGATTCTTGGTTAAATATTGTTGGGAAGGGTTTAGACTGAATTTAATGGTGGAAAAAAGCCCTAGCTGCACCTTAGGATCATGAGTTGGGTCTTTGGTTATTGGATTTGTTATAATCCGGTTAATAAGACCTTTGATTGTTTATCCTTGCATATATTAATTGTTTGTAGACCTAGAACAAGCGATAAGAATCCGAAAAGCGAAGATTCAAGTGCTTTAGGGGATTCAAGCTTAGATTCGAGGATAGGTAATAGTTTGATTTCATGTTTTGCGTGATGTATGTTAGTAATTGCTCATTGTAATGCATGTATTTGTGAATGAAGCCTGTTGATCAAACCTAATATAAATGAGTACGAATAAATGATCGTATGCCATGAACCAACACTTGATTATATGATTATGAGAATGTGCATAGTGATTGTGGTATGATGATTGGATCGGGTGCCACGTTTCAACGCATATATTGGATTGGGTGTCACGTTTCTATATACAAATTTGGATCGGGTGCCACGTTCTGGTGCATATATTGGATCGGGTGTCACGTTCCGACATACTAATTGGGATTGGGTAGCATATTCCAGTATACTAACTGTTTGGGTATGAGTTCCATGAGAGGATCATGAATTGGGTTTCATGAGAGGACCATTGAATCTTGTTGTATATCTACTTGTGATGATTATATTTATATCTAGTAATGATTGATGTTGGAAGTTTCTATATTGCTCTAAACTGATACCAAATGTGTATATATATTCTGTACATGTCATGTTTACCTTGTTGTGATTCTTATATATGTTGTGCTTACTGGGATAGCAGCGTGATCCTACCAGTACATTATGGTTATGTAATGATACTACACTTGCTCTTTCTTTGTTGAGCATAGGGCATATTCAGGAGACTAGTGTCAGGCCACAATTAGGTGACTATTGAGCATGACCAGATTCAAGGGAAAGTTAATTCTTTTAGGCTGCCACAAATCTCTCTTATTTAAGTACACTCTTTTCGGACTTAGACTAGTTCTTTAGATATTGTTATATTTTAGCTTTCGGGATTGTATCCCTATTTCTTGGACTTGCGAATTGTTAGAGTTTTCGTACAATGAGTCAATGACTTTCAGGTTCTAAAGTTTGAAATTTTTCATTAGTTATGGTTCGTTGTTTTTAGTTGAACCCTTGGAGTTTATGGGAACTCCATTTTAATTTTCATTTAAACCTACTTTTATATCCTTAAATGCCTTAGTTTCTACTCCTTTCGTGCTATGACTTGAATCCAATTGGTATCTAGGTGATATAAATTGGTATCCAAATTTCTTCATTCTATTTTGCATCTAGTAGTTATTGAGTTGTAAAGGTGGAAACAACATCACCAACAATAGAAAACGTGTCCTTGGAAA